CGAAAATCGTAAAAACACTGTCCGGACGTGATGCAACGTCCGTTTTGTGTCCGTTTTCGTTCCAACCTTGCGCGGGGGCCTACGTTGGCTGTGCGCACATGTACGCACACTTTGGTGCAATTGCATGCATGCGATCACGTAGCCCCAGTGCAACCAGCTACTTGTCGGTCTGCCGGGGAGGGGGTTCCCAACTACATGTTTTTTCCTACTCCGTCAAACGTCGCGACACTTTTTCCACACGTTGGCATCACCATCCACAGCACCCACGCCAACTCGCGTATTTTTCCGACGCTCGACGCATTTTCTAGGGTTTCTAAGGAAAAAGTACCCTACACCGATGCCCGGACGTGACGCGACGTGTGTTTCCTGTCTGTTTTTGTCCATATCGTGCGTGCATGACGTACTCTCACACTAAGCGTCCTTACTATTTTCTTATGTTTTAGCAAATATTTATGTACAAATGCATCATCAAATCAAAACTCTCGAATGAAATGGACAAAAGAAATTTCACTCATATTTCATTCAACATAGATAAAATATTTTACATAGTCAAGCTAACTCAACGATTAAAAGTTCACCACATAAAGTCTACTACTTAGGCTTAAAATGACATAACCAAATTAAATAAAAAACACAATAAAAAAACTACTCGTCGTGGCTATCAACGAGGTCAATGACGGCGGGGCCGTCGCCGCCGTCATCGTCACTGCTGGACCGGTTCGCGAGGTCGTCCCAGTCCACCGGATCGTCGTCGGAATCCTCCTCCTCCTCCTTCGCCGGCGCCTGCTGCCACTCCGCCGGCGCCTGCTGCCACTCCTCCTGCCACTCCGGCGGCACCTGCTGCCACTCCGGCGCCGCCATCGCCGCCTGCTGCGCCGCCTCGGCCGCCTGGATTGCGGCCGCAATCTCGGCGGCCTCCATCGCCTCCGCCGCCGCCGCTGCAGCCTCCGACGCCCGTATGGCGACGTGGTACCCCGGCGTGTCATCCGGATCGCCGTCCTCGCGGAGGATGACCTGCTCCGGCGGCAACTCTATCCCCGGCGGCGAGGGAGGGGCGGCCGGCGCGGGCGCCGGTGCCGGGTACACACCATGGCCGCCGCCACGTCTGCGGCGATCGTGCGGTGGAGGCGGTGTGCGAAGACGGCCGCTGCGGCCCGTCAGGTCGGGGGTCTCGCCGGCCGCGGCAAGGCGGAAGGCCGCCATGACCTCCCAATAGTCCTTCCCGCACCAAAACCGCTTTCGGCATTCCATGTTGTGCCGGCCGCCGCTGTGGTTGCGGAGCTCCTCCTCCGTCGTGTCGGGACCCGGCGTCGCAAAGCCCTCCGCATCGATCTTCCAGTTGCGCGGAAGACGGTAGCCCAGCGGCACGGGGAGGCAGTAGTGGTGGAGCTCCTCCGTCTCCGGCACTCCGATGCTCGTCGGCCATGCGCCGGGGGCGTCCTCGGCGGCGCCGCCACCGGTGTTGTTGCTGCCGCGGAAGAACGCCATCGGGTGCGGGAGGTGGCGTGGAGGTGGCGGAGGGACAGATGGG